AAGGAAGGAAGGAAGGAAGGAAGGAAGGAAGGAAGGAAGGAAGGAAGGAAGGAAGGAAGGAAGGAAAAAATACTATTTTTCTTCTAATTTTCAAGCTACAATAAAAGCGTCCCATCAAAATTCCAGCTGCAGGATAGCTAAATGCCCAGCCTTTATTTTGAAGGAGATGTCTATTTAATGCAATTTCATAATTTTGCAAATATTATGTCTGTGTTTATTTATAAATTGGTTATCCTATGATGATTCACAGCTCTAGTGTGACTTTCCCCCAAGCCTAAAAAAGAAGACAGAAATCCATATTTTTCTGATATTTCCTGAGCTATGAACTTTCAGACAAGACTCTAACAAGAGCAGTAGATTATGATACCCAGCTTTGGAGAGGCCCTTGGTTTTAAATAGTCTGAGTGGGGGGGGGAGGGGGCATTTTGCATGCAGAAGACCAAGTAGGGGAGCCAACATCTATGAAAGTCATCGGAACGTCTGAAGCAGGGGTCTTCTCCATAAAGCATAAGACTCAGTAGGTGAAAAAAATCAGAGAAATTGAGGTTGCATTCATAACATAGTTAATGTGGACCCACAAAGACCAAATGGCTTCAAACCTGACACGTTTGCTTTGTTTACACCATAATTGTATGATATGGGTGGTTGTGTAGTTTATGTAAACCCAACAGGTTGATGGGTACCCAGCTTTGTGTCAATTCAGAACATGGGTTACCTCCCTTAACTGGATGAAGCATGCAAAGAAAGATAATGAGGAGAAACGAATGGACCTTTCTGTCTTGAGAAGGTAGAGTTTCTTTGACAGTAAAGATTTAAGCAACATCTGCCCACCAGTTATAGCTGACACCTGTATGAAGGAGGTGGCTGGATGGGTGAGTGATTGAATCATGCTGTAATTAAGATGGGCCCACTGGATTTTCTCTCTGTGGTCCACTCTTCAGCAGCAAGCATCTCTCATCCTACCAACGTGAGACCAATCCCTTCATCTCAAGAAATCCTCCAGACCATAACATCCTCTGCTGTGGTCATCCATCAATCGTCAAGGAATGTTAGTGATATTTCAGGAGACAGCAAGGTACACACACACACCCCAAAAAAGGAATGAGAAGCACAGATCTCCATGAGTTGGTTAAAAGAAATGCTCAAACATTTGGATAAAACCGTTCCTTTCCCATGTTGCTTCACGCTAATTGAGCAATGTGGCCAATTTTGTAAAGGATAAATAAAGCAGGTTATTTTTAAAAATTGTGGGTATGTGGAAAATTCTTGGGGGTGGGGGGGGAGATGCCTTTTAAAGCCAAGCAAAGATATTTGTCTGACCTTCACATCCTTCAACTGGAAACATCTGGAATCTGTCTTTGAACTCATGGATACAGCTTTGAACCCACAATATTTATTTCCATGGCTGCGTTTCTCAACCTTGGCGGCTTGAAGGCGGGTGGACTTCAACTCCCAGAATTCCCATGCTGATTGGGGAATTCTGGGAAATGAACACCCAGCTTCACGTTGCCAAGTTTGAGAAACTCTGGTTCTAGCTTATCTCTATCAGACAAAGGAATACACAGGCTGGTTTGCAATGTCATTGAATAACTCCAGGAAATATCCTGGATAACTCTAACAACTCCTGGATCCGTCTATGACATTTTCTCGGCATCAATCCAAAAGGGTGATTTCTGACACAGCAGTGAGTCTGAAATATGGACCAGAGACAGATCACCTGGCTATATAATTTCATCTACCACCGGCAGAACGGTAAATGATGGATCACTTTGGTCCTTGGTGGTCTTCTCCTTCTCCAGCTCCCCGCTCCCAATGTGGTTGGGCTACACTAACCATCGTTCTGGAAGCTGCAGCCTGATGCTATTGAAAAAGCCACCCAGCTGGAGAAGACCGAATGGAACAAAGTGGGGAAAACAGATTTCAGGCCTTTGGTTTTCACGAATGGGGAGAGAACTTCATTTCCTAGTCAACCTTCCCCGGGTGTAGGACATCCTGCTTTTCATCTCAAATTTTCTGGAACAAGTTTCCAGGGAGAATCATTTTCCTCTTTTCTGTTTTGTTTTCTTCCGATACGTAGAAATCTTGTTTAGTCCACCCTGNTTGTATTTTCTTTTTACCAATAAAATCTTTTTAAAATTTTTTTAAAAAAAAACAAATAAAAATACTTCCTGGGCAGAGGGGGGGGGGGTATGTCTAAATGTTGAATGCCAGAAGGAGAATATTGTTTTTCCTTGTTTGTTTGAAAAGGAATGGTGTACATTTGAAAGGAGCTTGGGGGGAAAAGAAAAAGACTATTCCTTCACGGTTTGTGCCGTCTGCAAAAGTGAAGTCATCCTCTCTTCACTTCCCCCATCAAGGCGGCTAGCGAAAGCCAAGTTCTCCCCATCCTTCAGTAGATGGAAGCTGGCTGTCCCAATGTGTTTCTGATGCCATTTTGTCTTCTCTTTGTGCAGGCCAGAATGGACCTGGGCTCGGGAGAACTGTCTGTCGGGTCCCCAGCAGAACTACAACTCAACAACCTTGCGACTCACGATGTCGATCTCCTGGTGACGGATGGCAAGATGATCTTGATCGTGGACGGGCTCTTCAACGCCTCCACAGAAATTCCAGAGCCTCTTCAAGAATTGGACATTGATTATGGGCTCTACGTGGCTGGTACCGGAAACCTGGAATTGCCGTATCTCACTGGAGTGACTTTGTCATTCCGGGGCTGTCTTCACACTCTGACATTTAACGATCATGATGTTCTCTCTGCACTGGCAACCGGCACTGGCGTCAAAGCAACCCGTGGCATCCATGAGGGATGCAGTGAAGAATTCTCTGCTGGCCCCGAGGTTCCTTTGGGCTTCCTAGGATCAAACTCCTACATCATATTCCCTGCTTGGGATGCAAGGAACGGTGGAACCATAGAGTTTGTGATCACCACAAGTGCCAAACGGGCCCCTCTGTTTTACCAATCGGGGCTGGGAAAGGATTTCTTCTACCTGGAGATCTTTGACGGACACTTAAGAGGCGTGGTGGAGAAAGGGAATGGCCCGGTGCTGCTTCACAACAACATCTACCTCAGCAACGAGCAGGATCACTTTGTCAAGGTCTACATGGACAACCGCAAATTTGAGATCCTGGTTGACTACTACGTCTCACAGACCTCTAGCAAGGGGATCCATGGCTACATTGATCTTCAAGGACCTCTTTTTCTCGGTGGTCTGAATGAGAAGGCTGCGGGCAGAATGAAAGACCGTGGGCTGGACTTCATATCTGCCAGCAGCCTCTTCAATAACTCCTTTGTGGGTTGCATAGAGGACTTGAGGGTCAACGAGGAAAAGATGAGCCTACGAGACGCTCTTGTCACTAAAGACGTAAGTGCTGGCTGTGGGAGGCCAGATCAGTACTCAGATTATGACAATGTTTATGAACAGGATGAGGCCACCACGAGCTCTCCTCTGGACAGTTGGCAGGGCTCTGTTTTGGAGCCCTGTCGCTCCGATCCTAGCTTGCCCGCAGTCTTCACCAACTTCACCAAACTATTGCACGTCAGTCCCCTGGTGGTTGCTGAAGGAGGCACGGTTTTTTTGGAGTGGTGGCACACTCAGCCGACTATTGACCTCAACCGTGCAAACATCAGGCAATCTCAAGTTCTCTTCAGTGTCACCACAGATCCAAGACACGGGCAGCTGGAATTAAACCTCTCCAAAGTCAGGAGCAGAGGCAAGTTCACTCTCTTGGACATTATCAATCGGAAGGTCAAGTATGTCCATGATGGTTCTGAAGGCCCCATGGACCAGATGCTTTTGGAGGTCACCGTCACTGCCAGAGGAGACATTCCGGAGTGCTTGTGGCAAGGCCAGATATACTTGCTCCCCGTCAAGATCAACCCAGTCAATGATGCTCCTGAGGTGGTTTTCCCACACGGAGACTCCATGGTCATCCTGGAACACACACGCAAACATCTCAACCCAGCCATCTTCCAAGCCCATGATGACGATACCCCCTGTGACAGCTTGCGATTCCAAGTGCTTGGTGGGAAGAGAATGGAAGAAGGATATCTGGAGTACGACTTCCATCCTGGAGTCCCGATCGAAGAGTTTTCCTGTAGAGATCTGGAAGCAGGCCAGGTGGTCTATGTCCATCAAGAGGGGCCTGTATCCACCCTCACCCTCCAAGTGAACGACGGCATGGCGATGAGCCCGGTGGCCACCTTGAGGATCGATGCAGTGGAGCCAGATATCCAGGTCCACAACAACACGGGACTCTTTGTCCTACAAGGGGACAACGTTCCAATAACCAAAGCCAACCTTTCCGTGGGTCTTAATGCCGTCCAGCAAAAAGTACCCGTGTTGTATCACTTGGGCTCCCCTCTCCAGTATGGCGAGATCCAGAAGGAAGGAGGGATGAGTGGAGAGTGGAAGAAAACTGAATCTTTTTACCAGCAGGATATTGACCAAGGACGCATCCAGTATGCTAGCACGGACAATGAACATCGAGTAGAAGACACGATGGAGAAGCTCCAGTTCACCATCCAGGTAGGCCAGAAGGTCCTGAAAAACAACACCTTCCCCATCAGAGTCCAAAGGGCTGCCATCGGGATGAAAACCATGGTCCCTCTCCAGATGAAAAACGAGAAAGAGAAAAACATCACCTCTGCTGAACTGGAGGCAGCTTTGGAAGAAGCAGGTTCTGAGCAGGTGACTTTCCACTATGTGATCCTTCAGCCACCCAAAAAGGGAAATCTTGAACTTCGGGGCACCAGGCTGGCCGAGGGCTTGAATTTTACCCAGGAGGATTTACAGAGAGGACAACTGAGCTACATTGCAACGGTTAGAGACTCCAAGGAAGCCGAAGATGTTTTCCAGTTCCGGGTCATGGCTAAACCCCATTATTCCCCTGTGTATTCTTACAAAATAGAAATAGGGGGCGATCCAGATACTCCTGTCTTGACCAATGTCCTTTTGTCCGTTTTAGAAGGAGGACAGGCCAACATTACCAAGGAATACTTGTTTGTCAAGAGTGCCAACAGCGTGAACTACATGTATGAGGTGATAGATGGTCCTACCCATGGGAAGCTTATCTGGAGAACCTCTGAGCCTGGGACAACCAGGAAGGAGACCATAACAACATTCACAAATGAAGACATCCTACAAGGCCGCCTTGTTTACCAGCATGATGATTCCGAGACTCTGGAAGACGATATCCCATTTGTGGCCATCAAGCAGGAGGAAGGAAGCTTTGACTCAGAGGCTGAGGAGGTGCGAGGTGTCTTCAGGGTCTCCATTCAGCCCGTCAATGACCACACCCCGGTTCAAGTGGTCAACAAGGTCTTCAGCGTGGTGCGTAAAGGCCAACGCCTGATGACCACGGAGGACATAGCCTTCATCGATGAAGATTCGGGTTTCTCAGACGTTCAGCTAGTGTTGGTAAGAAAAGACATCCTTTTCGGCAGCATCATCGCCGCCGACGATAGAAACAGCCAGCTCTATCGCTTCACTCAAGATGACTTGAGGAAGAAAAAAATCCTCTTTGTCCACTCGGGAGCTGACCGAGGCTGGATTCAGTTCCAGGTTTCTGATGGCCTTCACCAGATCACAACACTTCTGGAAGTGCAAGCTTCAGACCCTTACCTCAAGGTCGACCACAATGCCTTGGTCATCCACCAAGGTAGCCAAGAGCCGATTGACTCCTCTGTCCTCAGGTTGGAAACCAACATGGACATCAGGAATGACCAAGACATTATCTTCCGTATCTTGGCCCCACCCATGTCGGGAGCGTTGCTACGAGATGGCCAGGAAGTATCAACTTTTACCAAAAAGGACCTTCTGGCAGGTGATATTATTTTCCATCACAATGGGAGCAGAAAGTCCCAGGATGCTATTCATTTTTCTGTTGAGACAAATCAGGTATCTGTGGAAGAGACACTGAAGGTCACCGTATTAGCAGAGTCCCATCCTGACCCACTAAATCTCGTCCACAACGAGAAGATACATGTGCTCCAAGGAGAAGCAATGGCGATTAAAAATGACTACTTGCTGGTAAGTTCCACGTGGCCTATTTTTTATTGTTGTTTCTATATTTACTTTTCCTTCCCTCAAGACTAAAAAAAAAAAGCCTCAATGAAAATTCTCAGTCGTCCAGGTCATCTCAAAGGTGCTTTTTCAAAAGGTAACTGGACTATGCTTTTCCCCTTGAGGAAGAAGATGCTTCGCTTCTATCCGAGAAGCTTCGTCAGTTCGGATTCCATCTTTCCGCCCTCCACGCCATCCAGTCAGAACTGATGAAGCTTCTTGGATGAGAAGCGAAACATCTTGTATATCAAANGCAAAAACAAGGGGGATATTTTGAGTTTCTTTCTCGCTCTTTCTTCTATCTCTAGATGGTGTAATCTCTTCTCCAAGTCTCCCCTAAACAGCTGGCTCCTTCCTTCAGCCTCTCTCACACCTTCCCCAAGGTCACACTGAAATCTCTTTACGGCTTGGGATCCTTGGGGGCTACCTAATGAGTGAGGCCCTTCATCCATCCAATCTGCTAACATTCATAGAATAGAATACAGAATAACAGAGTCGGATAGGACCTTGGAGGTCTTCTAGTCCAACCCTCTGCTCAGGCAGGAGATCCTTTCTACCGTTTCAGAAAGGCCTTTCCTTAATAGAGACTCTGTCTCCTCCCAAACGTTTGAGAGCTACATAATTTTGGCATGAGAGGAGACATATCATGAGGCTTTGACAAACGGACTGTAAAGGCACGGTCCAAAGACTCGGTGACAACCCCATGAAGATTTGGAGGAGACAACCAGGAAGTCAAACAATATTTGATGCTGGGTATCTGGGTATGAGAAACACAGCGGCAGGTAAAATGATTCTCCAGGTCTTTAATCTTCTCCCCTCTTGGTTGCGCTGAACAGTTTACCTGTTGGTGGAACCTGCTGGGCCCAAGGCTGTGTGTGCAGCCTTGTGGTGTTTGTGCAGCCCCAGTTTTGGCAAGACGTTCAGAGAAGTCGAAGTCTTCCAAAGCGAAAAGGAGGACGTTGGCCTTACCGGAACAGCTATTCCCCAGAAGAATAACGCCCTCTTTGTCCTCAAAGCTCCACTAACCTCACCTGATTCCCCAAACAATGACAGGTAGGAGAAGAAGCAGGAAGAATCGAAGGCAGCAGCAGGTGGCGGTTTTTGTGTTCCACAATAGGGGGTTATGTAAACTTGAGTCGGAACAGCGTCTCAAATAACTGGGGAATTTCATTCTCTCGCTTGTTTCCTGGGAAAGAAATGCCACCTGTGGGTACCTCGAGCAGGAGGCGGTGTCAAGTTGTTTTTTTTAATTGAAAGTTTTTGGAAAAAAAAACTTTAACAAATGTTTACCCCCCCGTCCCCTCCCCACCCAAACCCCCTCCCAACCTTCCCCCCCCCCCAACTTCCCAGAACCAA